ACTTACCAGTTAACTGGTAAATAATGCCAACACGCTTTTCAATACGTGGTTACATTTTGTTGTACCATATATGACGTTTATACGGACAATCCAAGATGGCGGTCAGTTGTGTGTGGTAAATTCAGTCCATTTTACTTAGCCATACGACATTGCTTTAGTGCTTGAAACATCAGAAAAAGAGACTCTTTTAGTTAAGCGAAGGATAAAATGGCTTTTAATAACTTCAACAACCAAGGGCAAATGTTTCCACCTCAAAATCAAGGTAGGCAGTGGACTTCCGTGCTTTGTGTTCGATTTACAGGTGTCATAAATAATACATTGGAGAATTCGGAGAGGAATATTAGTGAATCACTTGGCAAAGCCTGAGCTTGGTGTGTTTTTAGTCGCTCCCTTGAATCTCTTTGTTTCTATATACTGCATTCGGTCTCGATGTTCAATCAAACGCGCAAATGTTTATTTTGCGTCTTCGCCTCGATGATTCTGCGTCCCAGGTCGGAAAATTTAGGTTCATAATCCATTTGCTGTGATCTCTTCTCGTGGCTTGGCTAGTGCGCTTGTAGTCGTTTGTTTTTCTTATTTGGTACCTCTTCTTCTGTTTCAATTTATTTAACCTTAATGCTTAAGTTTAAATGTAAGCTTCTGAAGCTTATGAATAAAAAATGCCACTCTATCCCTGTTAGACCAAATACCATTTTCTACCCCTCCGAGAAATTTCGACAAATGATTTTTCTGTTTCTTTTTTAGTATTTGTATAGATACCATTTAACATTCAAATACTGTGGTACTCTGAACATTTAAAGCACATGATAAGTTGTATCCTACTCACGTACTTAACCCGTAACTTTAAAGTAGACCTCCATCCATTGGGTATATATAAATATTGATGGTTTGAGAAAGTCGTTAAATTACTAATTTAATTAGGAAAGTCAATGTTTGTTTCATTGTGAGAAACATTTGACGTCAGGCCCACTTTAAATAAATTGAAGTTTATACTTTTTCTAGCAAACTAAAAATTATTATCTAATAGACCATCAGCAAGTACTTGTCATTATGTTTTCTGTAGAAGATGAGTCCACGTTTCTTGAAGCCATAATCATATCATTTGTTTTCCTTTTGACTCATGGTTCTTAGGTATATATTAACTTGTAAGAAAGAGAGATCAGATGTC